ACCACCACTCGATGAAATCTTTCAAAGCGTTTTACAGGATACTTACACAGGTGTCTGTCTACCTAAAACCTTAAATGGACACCATACAAGTAAATATGCTGTTTTATCATAAAATAGTGACTTATAAACATGTACCAACCTGTGGGAAAAACGAGAAAGATAAGGGGAAATAAAGTAGGAATAGGTGTGAAGTGAAAAAAAAGGAGAAGGAGGACGAAGAGCAAGAATCTTGAGATCTCTAACGGCAAGTCAGCTGACAGATAGAGACTTTGTCGGTGCTCAGTTCTGCGTCGGACTTATCGGTTGGCTCCGTGGGGTTGTTTTTTTATCAATTATTTAATTGGAATTGTAATTATTGCTATTCTCTGCTGAGAGCCAATGTGAGCAACTTCTCAAGATGGCAGCAAAACTACGATGACGATGATGGCCTCGAAACGAAAAATAGTCAGTATCCATTTGCTGCATAGGTATATGAAACATGAAGGCTTACGAACGAACAATCGTGTTTTACACCGCCCCAGGTCTTTCCCGGTCACAGTTCTCTGGGTCGTGAGCTTTTTTCCGGGAGAAATATATCGACAGAGTAGGTTGCTACTGCTCGTCATGGAAGCGCTCGCAAGTGGTTTAATAGACCCCGCGCGGACTGGCTGAGCAAATGCCTCTTAGGGGCGCGAAAATCTCACATAAATTTACCTTCTTTATACGGTACTAATAATAGGTAAGCACTGTACGGATTGTTGCGATTGAGAACATTGTCAAAATCCCTGGATGCATATAAGCCATATGAAATATGTTCCACGCAAAGGTACAACGAACGTTTTTATTCCTCCCTTGCTAATCTCTAATGTTATAAATCATAGGGCATTCGCCTTGTTTATTGCCATAAGCGATTTGACTACATATAAGAGCCATATAAGAACTGAGGACAAGGAAGAAGAGACCGTCCGTGACAAAACACTAATTAAGATACGTAACTGCTTAGTCGATTTATGTAAATTACTGTGTACGCAAATATCACTATGCATTTGAAAAATGCATAGTTAATCACGAGCCAACTTTTAGCTGTCGCCCTAACGTTTTTGTCTGCTTGTGCTCGCGAATCTATGCATGATAAGCTTTATGGCAAAATGACGTACGCTAAGTTATCGACCCCTACGAAATGCAGGGACGCGAATCTGAATATCTCCCCTATTCGTTTGGTTCATTCTACAGCCCCCATATATGTTCTCTTTTTTCCAGTTCATCTTTTCGTCTTATGGATGGGTCACGTGGAACTTGGTCAAGCCGGAGAATGGTAAGAAGAGGCGAACTGTGTAATTAAATAAATGGGCATAACTTTGCGCTTGCTTTGAAACCCCACTGGGTGTTTCTACTTTAATTTCAATAGTAATACACACATGAAATAAGCTTTTACTCGGCACTTATTCTTACTAACTGGCGACAGAATTCATAGATTCTTCAAAGTACACTAAAGTAGCAAACTACGTTTTTAGTGGCAATGTCCTAGCGTCGGATATATTGGTACTGAACGTATCCAGACGAGCTTAGGAAGACATACATTGCGGTCCGGTCAGCAAACGCAAGCTTAGATTTGTTCCGCTTAAGGGTATCTTTCAGATTACCTGATCATGGAAAAAGTAAAAGGCGAAATTAAACTCTATCTTTGTAGTTGTCCCAACAAGTTTGGGTCGAGCTGGGCCTGGTTCTCAATAACTTTCTTTCAAGAGCTTTTTCGAAGGCTCACACATCAAAACAGCGTTGAAGATTCGGTTGCATATTTCAGGTCAAATGTATTTCATCGTACATGATAAAAGAGTACATACAGACGTTGCAATTAACCTATTGCCAAATTATGTAGGTTCGCGCATGCCGTTTCAACATTGAAAGAGGCACTGTTTGATGTAAAAAGTTAAACACCAAAGCGAATAAAGGATTTAATGAGGCAAGCGTAGTGAGCGAGAATGTAAGGCACCGACAACATGGATGTGTTCCTAACCTTTGTTCCTAACCAAAAATGATTATTAATCTTACATTCTATTATGTATTTTTGGAATTTAGATTAAATAAAGTCATTACATTCTCGTTTTCGTAAAGCTGAGATACTTATTAAGATATACCATTTTCAAAGCGTGCGAACAATGTAGAATAACTTACCTGTCTATAATTTTATAAACATCATTTGCATTGCATCATAGCACTTACTTTTTAGTGTTTTTTGTGCCCATTTAGGACCCTATAATACATCAGTGATTCACATATGTAGTCCTTTTGTATCGTATATTTACTTTGTGACTATGTAGGGGGTCACTGACGGTGGGCACGGCCATCCCTGACGTTATGTACACAGTGTATATGAGCGATCATCAAATGTTAGCTTAAATAGATACTATCTGTAAGGCATGGAGATGTTATCGCTATATTCGATTACCATAAGGTGCCTTTAACTAGTTAAGGATTGAATTTAGCAACAGGTATCAGCGTTTTTTGGCCAACGTGGCTAGAGAAGTGTCTTATAGTTCTTGGTCTGAAGTTTTCTGAATATTACTACGGAAACTTAAAGGCGATGTGCAACTTCCATATATGTATGTATGCGTGCGTATGAAATTTCTCTTGTATGTAAGCATCGGTGTGATCGAAAGCATTACGCGAGTCATATGAAGTAGCTATAGCTAGCGTTGTCAGATAGATTCATCAATAAGAAATCTATATACACTTGCGGCAATTTTTGCTTTATCTAAATATACATCTTGTTCGCTTGAAGATGATTATTAACATTACAATAAGTGATGGGAAGATATCAGTAGCAGAAGATCTGTTCTGTAAAAAGGTGACAATGTAAATTGGCGGAAATCGAGCGTTGACGGAACCAAGAGACCGGACGAAGGAAGCTACAAGGAACAAAAAAGCGAAACCTGGGTTAATAAAGTGTTCTACAAATCAAGCTCGACCCTTTCAGGATTTTTCCGATCTACACTTCGAACACGGCTGTCCATTTAATGATCGTTTAATCAGCTGAAAAGTATGCGACGCCGAAACAGTTTCCCCGGAAAATCGCAAGGTATTAACGAAGTATTATTAAAAAAGAGAACACTACAATCAACAAGTAACGCACATATGTGTCCCTGTTTACTGTAAGCACTGATTGACGACGATGTCACACCACTCACTCAAGATAGCCACTTCAAGATGCTGATACTCGCTTATATAGGTCATTCTCCGCTAATGCTCGTGCCATCTTCATTTCCTCATATCGTTTCGTACCTGCAATAAAACCACTGTCTATCTATGTGAGGAAATTGGTTGTAGTAGCTTATATAAACTAGTAGAACATTTTTTACTTTTCCACATTTTATCTTTCGAAACAGAAGACACTCAATATTGATTCGCCGAGATCTAAAAAGAGGGCACTGCACCAGACATGCCCGAAATAATTCTCTCCGTCATCATTGTCGGCCCATTGAGACGAATTGTTAACTTGAGTTGGCTGTCTGCTCGCGCGGGCGGGGTGGGGGGGCGGACAGTATGGAAAGAACGGAGTCGGCTAACTGTTGGATTGCTCTATAAAGGAAGAGCTCAAGGGTTCTTCACGTTCTGTTCATGGCAATATGTATATATATATATACAGATCGGGAAAAGTAGTCATGTTTGTATTTGTCTTGCTGAAGAAGAGTCAGGCTGTTCACATGACGCGTTATATCGTAGCAGTTACGTAACACTGGTAATGACGCACTAGTGACAATTTTATGATGACGATGGTAATACAAAATAGAGTGGAGGCCTTTTAGAGTGTATCTATAAACGAAGTAATAAACATACATCACAGCTGTAGGTACCACCATCTTTCCTTTATCCTTATAATTGTTTATGCTGCATTTTAAGGGGCTATAATAGAGGCTGACAAAGGAACAAGCACACACACTTTATGGCCGAACTTCAATATACTACATAGTGTAGTTAGAGGATGTATTGCATGCTAACTAACTCCTGTCACCATTACCTGAAACAGTTGAAAATGTTATCTATTTTTATCTCTGCCTCGAGCAATAGTTAGCAGTTCTGAATGCCTCTAGAAATGTCGTTCCCTCATTTCACACGTAAACGACATTTTCCGACGGGGTTTACTTTTCACAAGGACCGTCACAGTAAAGAATACAAATAGAGAACTACCCGAGCAGGGATTTTTGTCGTCGTCTTTGGGCTTCTCCACACGGTCAGAATCAAGTGCGCTAACGCGGCACTGTTGCTGTTGTCTGTAGGAGCAAATGGTTCCGTTACATGACAGCACAACCTCTGCATGTTTAAGTTCTAATTCCGGGTTCTACGTCAAAAAAAATTCAGACCAGAGTTATTGAACGTTGAGTTTTCGAGCGGCTCTTGACACCAGATTCATCCGCTCAATAGTATAAGCTGTTCAGAAGCAGGATCATTTAATACGATTGGGCTAACAGGTCTGGGAATATTATGAGCCGGTTGTTAATACTAACTAACTCAGACAGAGCATCAGACGAGCTTCCTAAACAAAACGCAGAAGGAGGAACTATTCTAGAAGAGACTGAATGGCGGAAAATGTTTTTTTTTTTTTTAATAGAGGAGAAGAAGTTTTCCGTACTGTTTGAAATTGACTGCTGTGGTTTTTATGTTGCTTATCCCAGTAGAGGGACTGAATTAGTTAAGCGGTGCAGATTGGAAGGCAGCAGAGAAGCACGATTAGAAGTGACTGAATCTTATGACGTTATCAACAGTGTTATCATCGATGCGGCTAACTTTTACATTCGCTGAATATAAATGAGACACATATTGGTTTACTGATAAGTAATCAAATAGTTCTCGTGCTATATACAGTAGTTATAAAACCTTCGATGTGAGATCATTTAGACTGAAGAAATAGATGTTTGAGGTAATACTCTTTGTGAGAGCTTAATGAGTTTCATCGTCTCAACGGTTTAATGATTGTATAACACTACTTTCTCTATCGCCTGTTGTACATTTTGCATTTGCAGGAGATACAATCACCAGTCCGGAGTACTCGGTCTATCTCATTTTCTTTTCACCGATCATTTATCAACTTGATTATTAAGAAAGACCAAAAAAAAAAAAATGGTTCTAGAAGATGTTAGTATGACGGCCATTTGGGTCGCTTTTATTTTAGCCGTTATCACGGTCTTCACAGTTGTTGGTAACGCTCTCGTTATTATGTCCATTTTCACACACCGCCCACTTCGTTCGGTACAAAATGTGTTTCTTGTCTCGTTAGCTGTGGCCGACCTTACTGTCGCTGTGTTCGTGATGCCATTCAACATCCACTACCACCTAAATAAACAAGTTTGGATCTTCGGCGCGGTGGCCTGCGAGGCCTGGGTCACCTGTGATGTGCTATGTTGTACCGCAAGTATATTAAATTTATGCGCTATTGCGTTGGATCGGTAAGTACAATAGACTCTAGTCCACATGCAAGGCTCACCCTTCGTAGTTCATTCATCGGTAGCACATCGATTTGTCAAGGGAGAGATGAGTACATGACTATAAACGTACTGACTAGATAAAGGACATTGATTGAAATGAACGAACACCTTAAGATGTTGAGAAAAAATTAACATACATTTATCTCAACTAAATAGTCACTATGTCGAGAATTCGTTTACACATTATACTTCCCATAGGTGGATTAAAGCTATGCTTTAGCTGGTTACATTAATTAATTCATTCTATCTTATTTCAGGTACTGGGCGATTCACGACCCATTGAACTATGTCCATAAACGCACTTTACGGCGGGTGACGAGTCAAATAATATTTGTATGGCTCATTTCAGCGATTATTTCGGTTCCACCCCTTGTCGGATGGAACGATTGGAGTTTTTCAGGGGGAAACGGCCCCTGTGAACTGTCGGCCAATAAAGGCTACGTTGTATATTCAGCTTCCGGCTCATTCTACATTCCGCTCGTCATCATGAGTATCGTCTACCTCAAGATTTATTTAGCAACGCGAAAACGGCTCCGAGAAAGAGCCAACGCAGCAGCTAAGGTTTGTAGACAGTTCTGTTTGCAGGCGAAGCTTTGTCTATTATAAGCCTCGTACAAACGATCGATACTCGTTTAGGCAGGATCTAATTCAATCATGCTCTGCGGCAATATATCCGCGTCCCGTTGTTGAAATTAGGCTGATTTACTGATCGTTCACTGCGTGTGGAAGACAAAATATGTATACCCTGTACTTCGGCTTTGTATACGTTTGGACAGGATGTATGCATGGCTTTTAAACAGTCGTAATAGATAAGCCGCTTGAGGAGGCTAGTCAGGCCAAGATGGCCGACTTACACATTGATAGCGGGGTTGTGGGGATACGTGGCGACATTAGCAATATCCGTGTCGGTGATTTTTCTTACCGCACACAGGAGTGTATTGCAGCACCTAATTTTCTTGTGGCCTGTATGAGGGAACATTCAATTTTTCAAGTGAAAATACAATAGCAATATAAATTAGCCTCTTAAATGCGATTATCGGTTACCACTATGTTATGAAGGATCTCTCTAGTGCCATAATATTAATGAGAGCACTATTTGAAAACAGTTCAGCGACACGTTCTGCAAAGAAACATTGCGCTAGTTCAACTCTAACAACAAAGAAACTAGGACTCATTGAATCAATGAAGTTTCTATTCGAGAACCTGTTGAGTCTTGTCGCGCTATTTTCTGTCCTGCTCAACAGGGATAGTTTGCTGGGTAGTCGTCCCGTCCGCTGACAAAGGATGCCGTTAAGCTAGGCCAAAGCTGCTGTATAAGAAAATATGAAATACGTGCTGCACATCACAGCGTTCATCTTGTCATGTATCATTTGTAGTGTTTCCGCTAAGAAGGCATGTTTTTTGAGTGGGGTTCACTCGAAGTTTCAGTCGTTAGTTTGATTGCTAAATGTTTATTCACATAAACAGACAAGACGACTGGCTTCCGGTCAGAACACAAAATTTACAGCCAATTGCCGAAATCGGTATCGCTTAGCCAATGCTCCACGAATGTCTAGTTTGTCTTTACATTAGCATGGTCATATAACAGACATATTTAGCAAAAATAACAGAACACAGCTATATATTGCTATCTATCTTTATATTGTTGCCCTTTGCTGCCTGACTTAGGTACCACTTCCAAGCCGACCGGTGGCCACAATCGCTGAACGTGAAGATTCGGTGGCTAAAAATCATCACAACGATAGCAGAAGAAATTCGCTGACTGAGGCGGTGGCTGCGATCGAGCTATCGGACTCAGCGGCGCCGTCAGCAGCCGCGGCCCCTATCAAACTGACGGCCTGCTGGGAGGAACGGCAACGAATTTCGCTGTCACGAGAACGCCGTGCGGCGAGAATCCTTGGCATTGTTATGGGTGTCTTTGTTCTCTGCTGGCTTCCCTTCTTCCTAATGTATATCATCATGCCATTTTGTGGAAACTGTACCCTGTCGGCGGAATGGGCCAACTTCATCACGTGGCTTGGCTATATTAACTCGTCGCTCAATCCAGTTATCTATACGATTTTCAATAAGGACTATCGAAAAGCGTTCAAAAATTTGCTCAGTGGCAAAGTGTGCTGGAAAAAATTAGCAGGTTCAGCGTTCGTCTGATGCATCCCTAATCTCAAGCCATATCCACATGTAGACAGGATCGGAGAAACGAACGGTTAAACAAGAAACGCTGTCAAAACAATAACAAACAAAATAAGAGCTCACCCTAAACGACGTATTCTCTAAAAGATGTTGCATCTAAATAACGTTACGTAACACATCAATTAAATGCGCATTGCTGTTGACAACGATCAAAATCTATAGTGGGGTCTGTGTGAATCTGTGGAGAAGTGGACGTCTTCGACTATAGCCTAATTGCCTACATATGGTTGCAGTAAGTTACAAAGAATTATAGATAGGTTTACCGACAGGATTTAGCCAACACAGAGTAGATGTAATCTATTGCTGACAGAGGAAAATGTACGTGTACATAGCCGACCATTGTACAGCTACGTAGGTATAGGTGCGATCGTGTCAGAAATGTTTGCAAGGTTGAAAGCTCGTATTACTAAATATAATATCACTTTCCTGCCGTCCGCCGCCATCTCTCACTGCACTCGCACGTCAGACCAGTTGTTGGGTATAGGGAAACGGGGCAATTCAGTTGCACTATTGCCATTGTCGCTGAAAGGGTGTCCAATAGATTGAAGATAGTTTTAACGTTAATCACAGCACCACCTTCATACGCTGACGACATTTTCCAGCATTTGAATATTCTGCATTTGCTATTGAACATATTTGGGGCTCCGCGAAGGGGGAATCCGGACAAGTGTAATCGTAAGAACACCATGCGCCCATAGATGAGTCCTATTTTAAACCTCATTTTGTATACGCGTTATCAAATTGAAATACTCTACGGTATAATATTCTCAAACCCAATTAAGGTAAGGCGGTGATTAGAAGACGCTTTTGATGACTACATTTTATAAGTGGACGCCAGTAAACCGTCATAGCTGATAGCAATGAATAGTGTTACTATAACACAGACGTATTGGCAAAGATGTCATGTTTCTGGTCAAAGGATACAAGAGAACTATAAGAAATATGGGACGGGATACGTGGGACTGAAAGTTAGACAAGGATTATAAAACGGTTTTCTTAAACAAAGCCACATTTAGCCCAGCTGCGTATAGATACTCATCTGTTGGTGATTATTCAAGAAGATGAAGACACTTCGTGATATTGAAGACTGTGATTGAACTCGAACTCATGGGCGGGTTCTTAAGGACGATTTATACGAAAACTTGCGTCATTCCATTACGATCGGTGTTGTTACACAGGTATGCCCGAAGGTGATGCTGACCAAAAAGCAGAGACGAGCTAAACGGTTTATTATTTTACAATTAGTATACAAGATCTGAACGCTTATAATAGATTATTGAGAGTTTGGCTAGGATTTGAATGAATGGGAAAATATAACGAGAGTTCCTTCTTCTATTCAACAACAATAACATGATAAGCCAATACTAACGGGTATGGCCTATTAAGGCCACCTTTTTGAGAGGTGACACCGTCGCTTTGGCTAAATTAGGTGTTGTTGTGACGAAGTGATGACGAAGGCCTTGACTTCATATATAGGTATATAGAAAGTAAGTCTTTGTATCATACGCGTGCTTCACCTTGGCCAGTTTGGTAAAATGATATAATAGAGCGATTGTAATGAAGAACTTATATGGCGACAGGTGACGCACGTGGTGCGATCTTCGACAGCAAAAAAATAATAAGCATAGAGCTAAGGCTCACAATTTTTTAATTTTTCTTTGTTTATTGACGACGAGATGCAATACATCTGTTAGTACTAGTCCGCGAACTAAGATTGCCGTTTACACTTTATACCTTTATTTTGATTTGTCTATGTGAGTTCGATAAAATTTACATTACTTTTTACCTGCTAGCTAGCATTTTTCTGAGTGTCTCTTGTGGCCGAAGCTAGAAGGAAGTGAAATTGTAAGCGTGAAAATAGGACAACAAAGGAGAGAGAATTAGATGAGATGAAGACTGGGAGACTGAAAATGGAATAGGGTTTGGTACATAGGTTAAAGAAGACGAGTAAATAGCCAAACTAGAAGACTCTTACAAACACGAAAAACCCTTCACACCAAAAAAGATCCAGACTAGCTAGTCCAGTAACCGATGAACCCGACACTTCACATAATCCCTAACAGAACCTTTCCTCTTCGTCTATAAATCTTCCCAAGGAAAACCCTGACTATTACTCTTGTTTAAGGGAACCCCCACAAGACGATAAACACAGATCCAAAGGCAGCAAACAGAAAAAAACAAACGAAAATGTTTCAGGGAGCGAAAAAAACTCCACTGGTGACAGAGGACGAGGGAAGCAGAAGGCTATTTCCATCGGCGGTTAGTACGCCGGCGTGATGCTACAACGTGTACCTATTACAAGACAGACTAACTGCGAGAAAGACTTACCTCATAGACATTTATTGACAAATACAGAAAGAATGAGAAACATCGGTAATAGCAAGGAGAATAGTAGTAAAGATGGCTGCATAAAAGAGAGAACTACGAGGCTCGGAGGAACAGATAAACGGCGATATTATAACAGAGCGATGATTGAGACGTAACGATCGGCTGATGAAAATATAGAAAATTGGGCACTTTCCGAAGTTAGTGAGAGAGGAAAATGATCTCAAGACGTAAGCCTGGTATTCGATGCCCACTTATATATATCGGACGTCGGTAAAAGATTTGCAGATTATGCATACACGGTGGGTTTTTCGCGGCCGTCTCTACAAGAATTGAATCAAGCTCGTACTACAGGTACACCTCCACACACATCACTGACTTATTCTCAAGGTGTGGCCAAATGCGCCAGTTACGTTTATTGCTTTATCGCCAATCCTCGGTACCTGTCTGAGCGCTGTGGTGGACTGTGGTGCTTGCAGCGGTAGCAAAAAGAAGCCACAAAATGGGACTAAATATACACACGTATTTACATACTTGGACACGTACTTTTTCATTGTCCAGCATGACAATTTTACCTCAATTCATCAATGGTAGAGTATAAACTCATGACGAATCGACGTATTTTTAGTTTAAAAAAGTAAACGACAAAAGTCAAGCAGTTAGACTTGTCACTGCTGAAGTGCATTGTCACCACTTACAGCCAAAGTATCTGGACGATAATTAAACTCAAGTATCTTTCTAAGTTCTTACCTATACATCGAATCACAACTTACATGGACATACGTATTATGGCACTTTGACAGATTTGATCGCATAAAGTTAAAAATGGAATCTGGCACAAACGAAAAAACAATAGATGGAAAGGAGAGTTGAAACCAGATATTAACCTACTTAGAAGAAAATTAGCTTCCGCAAATAAAAATGTTCCACGTCGTCACTAGACACAATAAGCTGCACGAGCAAGATGGAACTAAACAAGGAACTACCGGTGGGAAAGATCAATGGAAGGGACGGTTAAACATCTCAATCGATCGTTGACTCATCGCCAGATCGTTGTCCTTCAGCTAATAGTTACTGCGTTTGAGGGCGCCAGAGTTTCCTTGTCCTTATGTGTGCTATGCACAGTTGACAGACTGGATAGCAGTGTAGAAAAGAATGGCAACCCGCAAGGAACGAAGCACTGAGGAGAAGCCGCCACGGAACAAACCGAAAACAAGATGAGGTTGGCACGCAGATCTGCCAAGTTAGCGTTCTCTTATACTGCGTCCTTTTGTTTTTCGCTATGCTAGCGATAATCGTAATGGTGATGCCGATGAAGGTAATGACGATGGTTATGATCTCTCTAAGCAACAAAAAATAGAAATATTATCATAGATCTAGTAGCATTAGTCGCATATAATCACATGTATAGCGCAATACTGAATGGTTGTTTTTACTAATTTTTTTACGGTACCGTTAGAAAAGGAATCTACAATTGCCACTAGGAACCTGGCCAAGTTAGGAGTTACTGCATGTGCTTGCTAGAGCTGTACGTATCATTGTTATTACAATACATTGCTATAATTATGATTGTATATATGAATATTGTCTATTGTTAACGTATCCAGATTCGAGTCTGATCTGAAATTTAGGAAAACGGAAAAACACTTCAGAACACCAACAGCACGCACTAGCTCTTCCAAGTAGACGCTTACATATCACACAAAACGAAAAGCCAATACGACTAAAAAAGATAATGCCAAAATTACAATAGAGATGAAGATCTAAATTTTTAAAGACTGTTAGTAAATAGACGTGTCTGACTGCATCTATGATATTGCCTATTGGATTTAGGATACACCGCGAAGGTCATATTGTCTCGAATACTTACCACATAAGTACAATAACGTATATGCGCATGTAAGGCTCTTATATACATATAAGTATTGTTGGTAGTGAGGACGATCTCAGTAGGGTGTGAGGTGACAACTAATGTGAGAAAGAGCGTACTCATTGAAACATATTTGTCAAGAATCGCTAGCTATTCTTCATCAGTTGTTTGTTTATTAAGTTGCGTTTTGCTGCGGAGAGTATTTGCCGTTGACACATATGATAATATAATTTCTTGTTGACATGATAAAAACAATGCAATCGCAAAAATAGCGTGGCGGGCACTTTCAAAAACACGGATGCTAAGAAATAACAAATGATCTCTGATCGTTCGACCATAATGAGGGGAGGCTGAGAGAGCAAAAGAGAATGTGCGCTGTAAATAAGGGTAATTCGAATATTTAAAATTACGGTAAGTGCGCAGCGGAGTTAAAAAAAATCACACACACCAAAATGCACACTATTTCTATATAGAAAAGAGTAAAATCATAGTCGTCCGAGGAAGGAAAAAGCTATTGACATTTCTCGCCCGTTTCCGAATGAAATACGGAATAACCGTATGAAATTAACACAATGAGATAATAGGACTTTAAAATAAAATATATTTTACTTCATATTATATTCAGTGTTGTCTGTTTAGCTATCAAGCAAAAAAGGGTTATAGTTTCCAACCTGCATAAGCAAGATAAGGTAAAACAATTTGAAAAAAGCCCTTTATCCGTTTGAAAACAATTGTTTCGTAAGAAGGGGCAATCTTACATTTTTACATCTGCTAATGCAG